TTTTCATGTTCCAAAGGCTGTAGTACATTTAAAGTTACGAGACTGACTTACTACAGGTGAGATTTTGCCAATATCTCTCTTACTGTACATACAGTACATAATTATTCTTAGAAAATAATTACTGTAATTCACCAAAAGGGTTTTTTTATGTTTCAAAGGTTGTAGTACAGTCCTAGTGGCCAGGCTGACTTACTACAGGTGAAAATTTGCTTAATTTCTTTCTTACTGTATGTACGGTACATAATTATTCTTAGAAAACAATTACTGTAATTCAACATAAGGGTTTTTTTATGTTCCAAAGGTTGTAGTACGTTTGGAGATACAAGGCTGACTTACTAGAGGTGAAATGTTGCTAATTTCTGTTTTACTGTATGTACAGTACATAATTATTCTTAAAAAACACTGTAATTCACCAAAAGGGTTTTTTAATGTTCCAAATGATGTAGTACAGTCTAGTGGCCAGGCTGACTTACTACAGGTGAAATGTAGCTAATTTCTTTCTTACTGTATGTACAGTACATAATTATTCTTAAAAAACAATGACTGTAATTAACCAAAAGGCTTTTTTCATTTTCCAAAGGATGTAGTACAGTTCTAGTGGACAGGCTGACTTACTACAGGTGAAATTTTGCTAATTTCTTTCTTACTGTACATACAGTACATCATTATTCTTACCAAAAGTGATGTTCCAAAGGCTGTAGTACATTTAAAGGTACGAGTCTGACTTACTACAGGTGAGATTTGAGATTTTTCTTCCTTACTGTACATACAGTACATGATTATTCTTAGAAAACAATTACTATAATTTACCAAAAGGCTTTTTTCATGTTCCAAAGGCTGTAGTATGTTTGTAGTTACAAGACTGATTTACTACACTTGAAATATTGCCAATTTATTTCTTACTGTATGTACAGTACATAATTATTCTTAAAAAACAATTACTGTAATTCACCAAAAAGTTTTTTTTTCTCCCTTACTGTACATAATTATTCTCAGAAAACAATTGCTGTAATTTACCAAATGGGGTTTTTATGTTCGATATGTTCGAGTACATTGCTAGTGGCCAGACTGACTTACTACAGGTGAAATTTTGC